CACGACTTGAAGTCACATCTGCCTCGATACTATTTTGTTGGCCTCTGGAGCTACTGTAAATCCAAGGATGGCTCGGAGATGGTGTGCTCCCACCCCAGCACATCTTTTTCTTTCGATCTATCTGCCTTGCTTGACTCTACGCCAATAAAGGTCATCGACATACTTCCAGAAATAGACCAAAGTCTGATTTCCGGCTACCGTCAACTTTCGCTGAGTGCGATCCGTTTGTATATTTCCGGGTTTGTGGCAACCACGTTGACCATAATCTTGGCTGGTCGCAAGTTTTTCTTTTCCAATGGTAGCAAGTTACTTGCCATATTTTGCACGGTATGTGATAATCGGGAGAACATAGAAAGATGCTGACAAACCAAGCTTTCATCAACGCTCATTACGACTGCCACAATCTTGGTCATGGTGCTGTATGGTCTTTTCGCTTCCGTCGTCAAGAATAACTTGCAGACCTATGGTGTCCAAGTCAACTTTGGAGCAAAGATGTTTATCACAACGTGGTTGGCCTTGCTGTTCTCTATTGCCAGTTCAATCATATGGCTGGTTCAAATTTTCTGCTGTTGTATCTAAATGGCAAGCGCATTGCGGGTCTCGAATCAGATATTCATTCAGCTGAGTAGATTGCGATTTATTTATATGGTCAATTGCAGATGGTGGACTGGGATACTGTATTGCTTGCTTCTATAGTGCACATTCCGTAAATTGGAAATCTTTCTCGCTATATCTAATTCACAAAATTTGAGCTAAATACTTGTTGAACTCCCATGTCGTTTGTGGCCTTTATGGCACAGAATTATCAGATAATGATGATACATTGTGGTCGCCTAATAATCTGTAGCGGGCGAAAATATGGTAACACGGAGGTTCGATGAAAGGTCACTAAAGCAGAACAGCCAATCTTGTCTGTGAGAAAGGCTTCGATGGTAGGCTCAGGTGTGACAACGGGTTTTCCTGCTTTCGGTTGAGGGACCTGGATCTGTGTACATCCTTCTGATGGGCTCTAAAATATCACGCGCTGAAAATGATGTATTCACGGGACACAACTCTTCGCATGCCGCTTGAGCTTCACATGCCCTTTCAACCAGGTGGCAAATTGTGTTCTGGAAATTTCGGAGCATTTGATGCACGGAATTGTTCGAGTCCCCGGTACCGGATCTGTAAAGTGTTTGTAGCTCGTTGAAAGTGTGTTCCGTGAGGTCTTGGAGTAGCTTGAAGAGAGCATAACAATCACGATAGTACGCATTGTGTGCTTGCTGTTGGCCGATCTGTCGTACAATATGTACAATCTCTTCCATTTCCCTGGATTGTGCGAGGGCGTATTGTGCAAGAGAGAACGAATAAGGACGTTCGACGCTCATAGCCTACATTTACCTAATGAGAACATACCGTGCTCTTATCCATGACAGTAATTGCACACATAGGTCAGTCGCATAGCCGGAAGATCATTGAGACAAACGACAGATAAACATGCCTCGACTGTTCAACAGGAACGTGCTCATTTCTGAGGGTCCGGCCTTTGAGGCGGTCCTTGATGATATGATGGTTCTTCACCTCGCCGTTCCGGTGATAACCACCGCATAAAGTGTCACTTCCACGCCTTCCTTCGTGTGATTCAGTAAGTACCAACTTTGCAGTAAAAGAATATAAACTGAGCTCCACATTTGGCTATAAATGCACCTGCCCGTCCGAAGCATTCTCCTCGATATAGCCGGAACAATTGCTTTGACGTTGCAAAATGAACACACTCGACTACCAAATCCTGCGCAACTGCGCCATTGATATTATAATTGGCATGCTTGGGCTCTCCTACTTTGTCGTTTATCTACTACTATTTTTGATTTTCCATTTTCCTTCAACTCAAGACTCGATCCCATATGCCCTGGCAGTCATCGCCTTTGGTGGAGGAATCGCTTTGTGGTATCTATGTGTTGTCATCCAGAATGGTTTCCGCGTGCTCCACAACCAAAAAAAAAACAGACAACCAGTATCTCTGTGGTTTGTTGGTCTGTTCCTCATCTGGACCGCTGCCCTTCCGACCATCGCGTTTCTCTTTCCAGCCCAACCGTCGCTACAACTTGGATACGCATCAGCCTTCACCGTGATTGTTGTTGGAAGCCTCCCTGATGGCTACCTCAAAGATGGCACTGTATCCTTCCGGGGCCGATTCTCCCTCCAGTATGCGTCAGTGGGCCTATTGGCTCTAGTGCCCACCATTCATACATTGGCCGAACCGCTCCACGATCCCTCCCCACTGGCCACTGCATTCTGTCGACTGCTGTTCATCAATTTCTTCGGTTGTGTTTTCTACGTTTGTCGTCCTCTTGAGAGAATTGGAATGACGCGGATTGGGCAGCCCACTCTACACGGCATGTACCTGATCGCAACATACAGCCTCGTGGAGTATTCCAAAGTAGTCATGCAGGTAGCAATTCCTTACATGTCTTGATACTGATAGGAGGGCGACAGTCAGGGGCGAGTGCTAAAATCAAGAGATTCGGATGTGCAAAGCCATTTTCCGTGTTCTGTTGTTGTGATTACAGCCAGCGAACTGTCTAGGCGATCCTCTGGACAATCAAGTGCATGACTGAATTACTACATGAGTTGTGTGCTATGTGTGGTCGGCAAACTGTTTTTGATTTTATTTTTGCGTCTTATTCATCTGGTTAACATTCGGTTTAGCAGCGCTGCATGTAAACATGAAGCAAAGAGAAACCTTGTCAATTCTAGTTGAGCTTTCCGAACAGATTGAAATGATGCCTAAAATAGAAAAACTATTTCCCTCATGTCTAACACCAGGAAAACCTTGTCGGGATCTCGCATGTTGCATGTTTTAAATTACCGGAACTCGAAAGCAACGCCTTCAATCCACTGCCCGCTCAATAGAGAGATAGAAAGGAAGAATATCCAAGGTCGTAACATTCATAATATTTCGCTAGAATGACGAGCGTTCTATGGGTACTCAAGGACGAGGGGTGATTAAGGATCGATGAGTAGACCGTGGACCACAATGAGACACCATTCTGCTAGGTTACTAAGATGCAGCTATGGTGTTAGCCGGACCTTGGAAGCCTGCTTGTTGCATTGGACAACCCTAACGCCGTCAGGAAGGAAGAGTGTATCCAACCTTGCTGAGGATCAGCAAATTACAGCATTTCCTTGAGTACAAATATCTTTGTTGTTGTAAGTTCAACCGAAAACTATTTCTGCCATACAATGATCCAAATTACACGTGTAGCCAAGAGACATGATTCCAAGGCAACAGGAACTCAGACGTGACAGGTAAAATACATACCAATAAGCTACTAGAGCTAATATCTAGGACCTAGTTTCTTTCTGTATCGGTATTTGAGTCGTTTTCAGAAAGGGAATACGTGCATAACGATTACCAAGCCGTCCCAAAGATAGAGCGTTGTTCCATCCAAGCTTGTGAGATTTCCAAGCATTTTGTAGGCAACGCGCACGTTTCTACTGTTTCGATGACAGGCCCAAAGGAATTATGTGGGCGGCCAGCGATATGGTCAGATCTCGTGATTTGTAAGATTCTGGTATATATTCACAACCGTATCGCATTCCGTCGACATTGAAAAGGCGAAATGCACTTGCAATCGGCCATTTTGAAGCGATGACTGACTGCATCCATTTCTAGTAAAGTGAAATGTGAACGTTCATTATTTTGATCGCTTTTCCCATGCAGGTAGTCTCATATCAGCAAGGGCGAGAATGAGCAGGTGCGATACTAATTGGCTCAGCAATATGTTCCAGGCTTTCAAGCGGGACTTGCTCTCGAGCGCGGAAGGAAAGCAAAATGTTACCGCGAACCATTAATTGAAGACCTCAGTTCTTCCGCAATGCCATAAAGTTGAGATAAAGGTAGAAAGTTGAGTATGCCATCCGTCGAGAAGACTTTGGAACCAGATGAAGAGCTCCTGGGATCTATACATTCATGACTAGGCAATTGTTGGTTTGGCTATATAAGCCTCCATCTCTAATCCCAATATGTCTCTGCTGCTAAGAAATTATAGCCATGATTTCAGAAGACATTATCAAATCTGTTTTAGTCACTATTCTTCTACTTCTGAACATTGGAAGACTTTCTCTTTTGTTCTGCATTCCATCCAAGTGGCGGTGGCACAAATTCGACTTGGGCTTGTGTGCATTCTCCTGTGTTCCTTTTGCTATTCTTACCGGGCTGTTCTGGAGTAAAAGATTTCCAAGATGGAGCCAAGTGCTCTTTTGGGTTACTCCGTTATTCCCACCGCTACAAGCAGTAGGTCTTAATTGCATGGAATGAGCGAGGCGTACTGTCGGCTAACGGTACCACAGTACCTTCATGTAATTTTTCAACAGCGTGAAAATATATTCACACCTCGATTTCTACGCATCGTGTACCC